ATATGCTTACTTTTGTGCGTCTGTCCCATAGACTTCCGTGTATTGCCTGGTGTCAAGCAATGGCCGCCGGTGGCGACACCGACGGGCTCCCGATCCGCGATCCAGCCTACTAAAATAGAGATCAGTGGGGTAGACCCCAAAGCAAGCTGCCTTGAGGCCTGCTCACTATCCTTCAATCATAGCCAATCAGACCTAGGCGTTCTGACGTCACCACAACCCCTGCAAAAAAAGCAGACGACCCCCCCCCCCCCTCCCCCTCCCTCTTACGCTCCTCTACCGCCAACGTTTTTAGATTATCTCAGTTTTGGAACTCCCACGGAACTCCCGCATATAAATCGTTCCATTAGGGTCACAGCGGAGAGGCTAAAAAGAGAAAAAAAATGCCCTCCCCCTCTCACCCGCATGTCGTCTGCTCCGCCGACTGGGCAGTACCTAGCATCCGGCTGGCGTACAAACTGTTTAAATTCGCGTCATTTTGGAAATTTCAAGCGCAGATGCGCTGATTTCGGTATGCCAGTTATCGTGTATTACTATGCCAGATAAAAAGACTAACAGAGCCCAATTGCTCAGTTATCTATGTGCAAATAAAAAAAAAGGGAAAACTGTGTCAGACTGGCCGGTCTCTCCGGCGAAAAGTGAATCCGGTGGCTGTACCTTTTTTACTATACAAAAGTTCGTACTGGTGTAGGCCTTTAGCGACCATGAGCGGATGTCTGAAATAACGAATAAAAACGTGCTCTCCTGCCGCAATACACGCAGTAGTTGAGGGTAGTACTACCGGCTGACTCAACTGCTATTCAAGTAACGAAAAAAAGATATGTCAGTTGATCATTTACCGAAGTAGAACAGAGAGCTCTAGGCTGATTTTGGAGTAGCCATAACTATTCTAAGAGCGCGAACCACTTCACAACGGCAGCCACGAACGGGAGTTCGATGTTCCGTACAGCCCAAAGATGGAGAATGGCAACCTCCCGGTTTGTCGTCTGCTAGCGAAGTCGGGTGCGTGCCCTCTCTCTCGTTTCACTCCGCCGAACCCGCTGAATTTCCCGGATGTATGGAGAAGGCGCTGCTGTCGAACAAAATGGTGCCGCCCAGAGAGCGCTAAATGGGATGGCCTATACCCACAACTTTGTGTGGATATATGCAGTCAAAGGTACGGGGACGCTCGCATGAACGCCGTTTAAAGCTGTGAACGCAAATAAGAAAGTTGTCTAAAAGTATACCTACCTCGATTTTCTTGGCGTTTACGTTAGCTAGGATTGAATCAGACCTTGCGAAGCGCCACTTGTGACGAGAGTGGATTAAGGACCGTCTATTTAACGTATGTTGCTACACTGACTACATCGCTCTTCCGCTCGCATGGCATTATCCCGTTGACCGACGCAGGCCATTGGTTTTCAGTGTAGATTGCCAGAGGTAAAAAAACAAAAAACAACGCGCAGCTCTTGATGTATAGTGTTCTAGCGGTAACGGCATTTCAGTGTTATAAATGTCGCCGAAGAACGTGGGCAATTCTTGCAGGCCAATGTTTCCGGACGAGACCTGTCTGTGTGGGGGAAGTATAACCTAATTAGTAATTTGTTCGCTCCGATCGTGTAGTGTGTGCCAGTTCTCTCGAAATTATGATAATTTTGCATTGAAAAATAGTAGTAGTAGTAGCAGTAAAAGTAGTAGTAGTTTTTAATGCATTATTTGGCATCTGTATGGAAAAATAAACTCTCGTAATACGATGCTTTTGAGAAGCCCATCAAGCAACGTGTGTGAGTGTGTGTGTTGGCAGTGTAGTCGGAAGAGAAAGCAGAGGGCAATCGTGGGTGTGGGCTCATATAGCTCCCTCTCTCATTGATGGTCTCCTATTCCTGGCCACAAAGCGCGTGATTGGATCCGCGCCCTTGCCGATAGCTGACGCAGCCCTCGTGTCCAATTCGCCTCCTGCTTTGCCCAGGAGGCGCTGTAGAAAAACGAGTTTGGTCAGTCCATGATCTCGCCGCCGTAACGCTCTCCTCCTGAGTGAGCCAATCAGCACGCGGCGTAGAGCAAGAGGCATGAGCGCATCCGCGTGAACTCCCGGCTGCTCCCACCTGAGTGGGGAGGGCCGCCATCTTCGATCATTCTCCCGGCGGAACGCGTGGGATCGGCATCTAAATCTCGATTATTGCCTTTTATATCGCTGGCTCTGGCAAGAAAATGACATTCTGTTATTCCTCGGTGGGTTAAAAAGCTAATAAATGAAGATTTTTCGTCGTATGGCCACAAACTTTTATTCAGGCGAAAAAGAAGTCGGCCCGTAGCAGACGACGCGTAGCCTCAGCAGTGCTCTTCTCCGACCAGTCTCCGACAGCGTTGCTAAAAATGGCGTTCATCTCCTCTCCGCTCCCTTCTTTCTCTCTCGCTCCTTCGGCGCTCTCCTCCCTTTCATTTACTTTTCTCCTCTCCGGCGCCTTCGTCGCCACACCCACTGGCCAAACTCTCCCAATATACGGCTCTGAGAAAAACCGGCTGACAGCGCCCCTACGTTTTGTTTATCGGTGTTGGGTAGTACAAACTTGCTCATTCCAATTAGTCCCGCGTGCAAACGTTAGCCGGCGGTATGAATTCCTTCCGTGCAAGGAATCGAGCCGATTTCTAACGTGGAAAGCTGCTTTCGTTCCTCAACACGTCGCAAAGAGAATAAACTCTGTGATGCAAGCTACGTCTACGCTGTACAAAAAGCCGCAAATTTGGTATCGGCGTTCTGTCACTCGCAAAAACGGCGAGCTTTTTATGATATCGAGCTTGATGTGAGCATTACGAGATACATTAACGCATCTTTTAAGCAAAAACTCCCAAACTGCAGCCCCTTCGTTCAGCCAACGCTATCAGCTGATGACCAACCTTGAAAATGCGCGAAAGCAGATGCAAGCGATCGAGCGTCGACCGGCTGTCTGTCGGCCGATCACATCGTTGATACTTCTTTAATTAACTCTTGAGAAGAGTTTGATCACACCAAAAGGCCAGTGGCCCGTACTCGTAGGTCTGTGGCACCATACAAGACTTTATATACACACACACACTCGCACCCGTAAATAAATAAATAAGAATGGAGGAAGGGAGGGAGGCCAGCGCGGCATCGAACACAATAATAATAATAATCTTTGATTTCACAGATGTTTTACCCCGAGTGGCTTGCTCGGCTAGGACAGAAAGGCGAAAGCCCGTACGCTTGTGCGTCTGCTAGCCAACCACCCGGGGCAGGAGAAAAACGAAAAACTAAGCTGCCTTTCGAGCTGTTGCAGCTTTTCTTACACATCTGCGATGTAAGCTTCACGCAACATAAGATCAGCAGTAGGAGCTCCGCCTCCAACACATGTTTGTTGATTTCTGTGGCGCGTTGGTGCGCGCGCATGCTCGATGTAAACTTCGTTTCTGACGCTACAAGCGTGAGCATGTGGCCCTGAACAGTGCTTGACAGGGTCACTGCCCGCAGCTCGCACTTGTAGCATCGTCTGCTGAAACGAAGTATAGTTCAATCGGATCGCTCCACTGATCGGACAGTATAGCGTGTTCCTGTTCGTAAAATTCGCATAACGCACGTTTCGATGCATGCCACGGCCGCTTGATCGAGTGGCCGTGCCTTAGCACCTGGAGGGCGAGAAAAACAATTGTCTCGCTTACTCAGTGCGCTTTGCGGCTAGTATCGTTTCCTCCGCTCGACTTCACACGGTTTCGATGGGAATCTGTAGAAGTTCACTCCGGGGATCTCCCTGTTCTTGACAGTTGACCAGGGATTTCCCTAGACCCACCCCTCGTTTTTCCGAAGGCACCCCCTTAATTCACAACGACTCCTATATTCGCTATGCCCCCCCCCCCCTTTAAACCCCCCCCCCCCCAAAAAAAAAAAAAATTTAGACGCCCCCCCTGAATTCAATTCCTGGGGAAACCCCTGCAGTTGACGACGCAACAGTACCGTCGACGGCGACGTTTCGAACGCATCGAGGCCGCGCATGGGTTTCGACGTGCTTGGACGAAGGAGAAAATACTATCTTGGGGCGAGCTCGGGTCCCCGGGGTGACGTTGTGCGGTGACGACTACGGATGACATATTTTAAATCGCGACCACGAGAACGCACAAATAACAGCAGCGCAGAGAGGCAAAAGGCCGCCCGAACAGGTTTGTTATTGTACGAGGCCGCGGGGCCTTGGCAGGCTTGCACTACTCAGACATTTATTGCCCGCCACCGGAGGGCGCCACGATACGTTCAAAGCTTCAGCGCAGGAGGCCTATACACGCTCAGGGTACGTGTCCTAGAAATGGCGGACAGACGATGGCGCGGACTTTTCAAAAGTGTCTATTATCTCCCTCGCCACCTCACAAAACCATTTACCAGGACGTGGACCTATCCCATTGAGGTATTCTTTCAAAAATGAAGTATATGACTTGCCGACAACACCGTCCTCGGTTTTTCATTCATTCGTTTCTTCTGCGTGGGACGCATAGTGCCACTCGTTTGCGAATTGGAAGATGAATTGTTCCTTTGATCCAAAGGACGGAGTCTCATTTTAGGATTTTCGCAAATGCTTTGTTAACAGAATGAGTCGACCGTGTGTTTTCACGCGATGTACAGTAAGAGATAAATCTCAAAGTTGAGCACTTGTGCTCAACTTTGAGATTTAGATCTTACACAACTTAGATCTTACAACTTAGATCTTACACACACGGACGGCGTCCTCAAAATAGTTCTCTCCTACACTGTATCATAATGCGAACGTTACTAAAAAAAAGAAAAATATAACAACAACAACGACATTGATTAAAAAAATAATTAAATAGCTGAGAGACATTTGCAGGTTTTCATTGATACCGACTCCGGAAACGTTACTATAATAACAGTGAGGAATATACACACTAGCGAAGTACGTAATTCTATCGCATTTGTTCAATCGCTTCAATCTGGGAGCGCCAGCTTCTATTCGCTCCGATTTAACGAATGTTTCATCGCATATTCTAATTCACTTCCTCACCTCGTGCTGTGACGATGTGGCGATTCTGTGGCCGGTTTGCCCAGCGCCCAGGTGCAGGCGCTGCGTTTGTCAGGCATGATAGCAGCCTGCGTCTCATGAGTGCAGTACCTGGACCAGGAGGGACACTTTCGCTCTGGAAGGAACCAAAACAAGGATAGATTCAGAAAAGCGGCGCTAACCGCAAAGAGCAATTTATTAGGACATACTTCTACTTAGCTCAGGCAATTGTTACTGTACGAAAATGTATAGTACGGTGACAACTACAGATACCTAGGCCACCTTGTGCAATAACAGCACAGGACGGCCATGTATAAGCTGGAGGATTGAATGAACCGAGCCCTGAATATCGAAAATAGTTACGCACGATACTAGGGAGCGTAGACCACTTTTGCATCTCGGCTACACTATTTGCAATCTGCTGAACGAATACGCGAACCCACTCATTGAGTAGTCTCAAAAGCGCTCTTTCGTGGCTCGTTTCACCCCTCTGCGGCCGCTATGGTTCGAGTGCAACTGACAATTCTGAGAGACACTTGAAAAACCTACGAAATTTGTGTTGTGAGAGAGTTACGAGGACGTCTGATAATTCAGGCCCGTTCTATTGATATCACATGTCTAAATTAGAATTAAAAGAACTGTCTTCTTTTATATGAAAAAAGAAATCGGATGTACATTTAGCTAATCCGGAGTTCTTTGATGTAAAGCCCCGCCTAGCCAAGCCAGTCACTCGGCGGAAATGCCGTTCGGAGCGGCATTGCTACCGGAAGTATGTGCTGGGATTTTGAAGCATGCTCTTCAGCGCGCGCTGGAGCTGTATACTGTGGCCGTGGTAGCCAGGGGATAAAGGTTGCGGCTGCGAGAAACAAGGACACCGCTGCTTCTTATGTCACGTGCCAAGCTATTGCTTGAATTGAATTCCACGCTTCATACGAAGCACATATGTACCAGTGACTCGATTTCATTTCTCACCGCAACGTAATCAAACGCTCTCAAATGCAACTGTGCGTAGGGGCCTTTACGTTCCGCTAAAACCGCCATTAGAGAGTATAGGCATAGGCAGTTTTAGCATAGCGTTACCGCAATCTACCATCGCATAGGTTAGCGCAGGCTACTGTAGCACCATAGCACGGCACGGCTTCTGGCACGCGCTGAGGAGCATGCTTCGAAGTTAAAGCGCGAACTCGTGGTAGCAATACTGAACTGTAAGGTAGCCTACGGTGACGCTATCTTGCAAATCGACGCTCAAAGCTAAAATCGCGGGCTGATATTCCAATTGCTTCGGCCATATATTATTTGAACTGCAGTCGTACTACTTCAAAAGTTGTGGTCCAAGGACTCCAGGGCTTCAACTGTACAAAAATGTGAGGTGCTTGTTTAAAAAAGGGGTATGCAAATTTGTGTTATCGTGAGCTAAGTCCCCTCCCACCCTCCCGACCAATATGACAGCAACAACAACAACCAAAAAAGTCTTTATTTTTCGGAGAAGCTACTGATACGCCGTTTGGTGTCTGCCTCTTTTCAGACATGTGATAGCAGCGCCTCATCAGCAGACAGAATACGAACCCAGATTATCAGTGCGCGGTAATCTGGCGCCTGCAATTCCAGTTCAGCTGGACCGTACGTTTTCGATGCAGACCAAGCGACAGGTGCCTTGCCCTTCAAGGTGCACACTCCGCTAAAACACCTTAGGGCAGGGGCCTTCATTCTGGGTCGAGCATGAACACGCGGTCACGGTGATAACAGTGATGCAGTTTTTTTTTTTCGTTGTTGTGTTTGTGAAGGGCTGGAGGGGACGTATAGTGAGAAATGTGGCACTGGACATTAACTCTCTTCCTCTATAGGCATTCTAACATCAGGTGAATCACACCGATAGTGCGAAACGCGACTACTATACGGAATGTAAGTGTTCTTAAAGAAGATGTGTCGAGCAACGCTACGCAAAAACCGAACGTTTTTCTTTCTGCCAGGATAAGACATGACGCCACCGGGAAAACTCCCAGTTGGTCTGGCCTTTCTCTACCTAGATCCATAAAATGCTCTATAGTCGCTGACCGAGTGAGAAGGGCAGGGCACTTCGAATTTCCGGCCTCGAGCACGCGCTCCATGCCTTCCGTCGTGCTTTGCCGCTTCACGCGTGCACTCGAGGTGCGCGAAACGTCGAGGCGTCGTCCAAAGTAGGAATCTTCCGCGCATGTCGTGACGACCGAAGCTCCTCCTTGCTTTTCCGCCTTGTTTAATGACTATAATAATAACAATACCTCCTACACCATAGCATGGAGAACGAAGCGACCCTGTTTGCGTGCAACTACAGTCTATACTTCAATATTAGTGAGGCTGTGTTGGGCTCCAAAAGGCTTCCGGGGCCGTTGCACAGGGCTGAAACATGATGTGTCGCACAAAGGCAATGTCATTGTGCACGATTCTGCTCACGTAAAGAGGCGAAAGAAACAATGTCATTACAAGTCCTCAGCTTTTTCCAGCTCCCGACTATGAATAACTCCAGAGTTGTGAGGTGTCCTGAATTGTCACTTTCACAAACGGTAAATGCCTCGAGACTGCATTGCCTTCAGCGGGGTGACGGTAGGGTCTACAAGCAGGGAGTGGTGCAGGTTATTTATATAAAGCCAGGTTAAGGCGCTGCACGCGCCTAACCTAAATTGAGTCGCCTAACCTCAGTGTTTTGTGTATAAAATAAGTGATATTTAGATTTAAAAAACAAAACAAGAACACAGCCGCCGTAGGCAGAAACAACCAGTTATAGTTTTTTTTTTACTGCTTACCCAGCTAAGTTTTTTTTTTTAATTGGATGCGATTTTTTTTATTACTTCCAGGAACTTATGGTGGCAAATTGTGGAACGATACGTTACCAAGCTGACTTGTGCGATAACTTGAAAAGATTCATCTGGATTCGGAGGCGCGCGGCGGATTTGCTTTCTTCTTTGATTGCCTCGACAACGTGGCACACAAAATTTGAAATTTGGCCAAGTACGCGCAGTGTGAATGGTGCATGCGTTCGCACTTTAATACCCCCCTCCCGCCCCCCCCCCCCCCCCCCCCCCCGCCTTCCCGTCCATTTATACACCAACTCATGTTTGGATGGATGGATGGATGAATACGGCTGAGCCCTTTGGATCGGGCGGTAGCTTACGCCACCTAGCCATTTTGTTTTACCTTTTAAGCTTAGAATATTTAAATGTGAAATCTGTATTCACTCCGCAGTGCAAAGAAAGTGAGGCTATGAAACCCACTTGCCATCAGTGGATAAGAAAATACCTAGTTTTCTCTCGATTTCTGCCACCATTCACTTAATCTTTGCTTGGTAATCTCTACAGTCTTGAAATCCACTCTCCCTTCGCTGTCTCTAAAACCCAATGACTTTATTAAATCTATGTTGTCTTCGGTAGGCATAGGGTGAAGCCCTTTACAGTAGAGTATCAAGTGCTCAGCCGTCTCCTCCTCCTCTCCACAAGCAGTGCACACTGTATCAATTTCCTGGTACTTCACTCTGTATGTTCTGGTTCGCAGAACACCCGTTCTTGCCTCAAACAGCAATGAGCTTCCCCTAGAATTGTCATAAATGCTTTCTTTGGCAATAACTCTTTTGTTTAATCTATAGCTTTCCAGAGCCGTCTTTGTCTGCATTCCCTCTAGCCACCAATCTCTTTCTGTGGCCTTAACTTTCTTCTTAACTGAGACTTGCTCTTCCGTATCTTCGCTATAGCCCAAAAACTTTCCTCTTAATTTCCTAGTGCGCTGTCTCCACTTTGTGTCTACACTCCTCATGTATAAATAGCTGAAAACCTTTCGTGCCCATTGCTCCCCGTCCATTTGCCTCAACCTATCCTCAAATTCTACCTTGCTCACCGCTTCCCTGCTCTCAAACGATGCCCATCCCATGTCTCCTTGTACTCCCTGGTTTGGCGTTTTGCAATGTGCCCCCAAAGCCAGTCTACCTACTCCGCGCTGTTTTATTTCTAGTCTCGCATGCACTTCGGATTTCATGCATAGCACTGCGTTTCCAAAAGTCAAGCCAGGCACCATGACCCCTTTCCAAATCTCTCTCACCACCTCATACCTGTTGTAATTCCAAAGTGCTCTATTTTTCATTACAGCTGCATTTCTGTTGCCCTTACCTATTATATACTTTTCATGGTCTCTGAGATATTCTGCACCATCACATATCCATACTCCTAGATACTTGTATTTACTAGCTCTCTCAACTGTAATATTCTGTATCTTCAGCCTCTCAACTTCATCCTCGTTAAAAATCATGACTGCCGATTTTTCGCTACTGAATTCTAAACCTAATTCCTCTCCTTCCCTACCACAGATGCTCATTAATTCCTGCAACTCTGTCCTGTTGTTAGCCATTAGTACAATATCATCCGCATACATCAATCCCGGTAAGGATTGCTGAATTTTTTGGCCTAGCTTACTGTAAGAAAGGTTGAACCCAAGCCCACTCTTCTCTAGTCTATCCTCCAATCCTCTCAGATACAACATAAACAGCAAAGGCGATAACGGGCACCCCTGCCTAAGGCCTCGTCTTATCTCTATTTTCCCTGTCGCCTTTCCTTCCCATGTTATAATCACCTTGTTATCTTTGTAAATGTTCCTTAATAGTGCTGTTGGTCCTTCATCTAGGTTTAAGTTCTCCATTATGTCCCACAGGTTTCTTTGGTTCACATTGTCATAGGCACCCTTGATATCCAGAAATGCCAGCCAGAGCTGTCTGTTTTCTATTTGCGCTATTTCTATACACTGTGTTAGAGAAAATAAATTGTCCTCCAACCTTCTTTGTTTTCGAAACCCGTTCTGTAATTCGCCCAGTATGCCCTCGCAATCTACCCATTCCTCCAGTCTGTTCTTTATAATCTGCATTACCAACCTGTAAATAACCGGTGTCACGGTTATAGGACGATAATTCCTAATATCAGACTTATCTCCCTTTCCCTTATATTTCATACTCATCCTACTAAGCCTCCATTCATCTGGAATATTTCCTTTTGTTATCATGGTACTCACTACCTCCCTTAGTTTTGCCTTAGATTTAGGACCCAAATTCTTCACCAGCTTGATAGGGATACCATCTGTGCCTGTCGACGTGCCACTAGGGACTCTTCGTTCCGCCT